TTAATATTTAATTTCTATTAGGTTTTGTAGCCTATTTAAGGATTGAATGAGTGTTCTAAAACAAAACATGTATTTTAACATTCTATTTTATACATTTTAAACAATATTAATTTTTATAAAATTATCAAATTAATATTTTAATAATTATCAATACTTTTAAATTTTTAATTTTCCTGTGCGATGCGCGGGCTAAAATCTAGTTGTATATTTACTGTAGGAAAAATTAGCCTTTTAATCCTTCAACTTTTAACTCACTTGTAACTCAATCCCTCAACTATGACACGCTGCGACTCAATCCCTCAACTATAACTCACTGTAACTCAGTCCCTCAACTTTTGATTTACCTATAACTCGTCTTTATTTTTTAATTTTTTTAAAATTTTTTATCAAATAAGAGGGATAAAAAAATACTCATATATTATTTTAAAATACCCTATTCTTATTCATTAATGTGAGATATAAATTAACATGAAAAAAATTAACAAAAGTTAGGTTAAGGGACTAATTTGTAAGTGATTCAAAAGTTAAGGGATTGAATCATAGGTGAGTTATAGTTGAGGGATTGAGTCATAGCGAGTCATAGTTGAGGGATTGAGTTACAAATGATTTAAAAATTGGAGAACTGAAAGATTAATGTTTTCTTTATTGTATTATTATTGAAGACTATACATTTATTATATCTTAATTGAAAAAATTGATGACATAGATGTATAAAAATATGCATTCATTCAAAATATGCAAATAAACGTCCAGAAATTTTTAAAGAGAGTAAAACGCTTTGATTTAGCAAGTTAAAAAGATTAAATTAGATTTCTACATTCAAACACTCATGCATTGGACAAGAGACTATCAAAGAAGAACATGATTATGAGATGAATATTGCACTGTTTCATTAATTAACTATTTCTATCTGAATGCACAGAGCACAGCGTGTGTGTATTAACATTCAATGCACAGTATATATTTATTCCCGTGAACGTTGAGAATCTACACTGATTAAACGACATTTCGATTGACTTTTTTTTGTATATTTAAATATAAAAAATTTTAGGATAATTTTGCTTGATTAATTTTTTAGGCTAATGGAATAATCTCTTTTAAAAATTGAAAACCTGTGAAAGTATTCCTTTTAATCTCATTTATCCAAAAATGAAAAAAATATTAACATATCATTAGTGTTGTAACTGATATTACTCCATTCAATTAATCCTATTTATAAATTACTTCTGACATCTTTTGTTGGTATTAAAAAAAATCTTAAAATTCAATAAGTTTCTAACATTATTTTAATATCGCATTTTCTTTCCTCAAAATTTAATGGAGGTATAAAAAAAAAACTTGTGATAAAAATTTAATAAAATAACTTTTAAATATGACAAAAAAAAATTCTTTCCCCATCTTATAAATATGTCCAAAGGGAGAATTTAATAAATTACCTTCGATATCATTTTCTTTTATTTTTTTATAGATATCATTTTCTTTATTATAACAACAACAACAACAACAAGTCTTTATCCCACTAGATAGGGTCGGCTATATGGATTGCAAGACGCCATTATGCTCTATCGTTTATCAAACTTTTAAAAATATTATTAATTAAGAGATCGCGTTCAACAACTTCCAAGAGTGTTCTCTTAGGCCTTCCTCTACCTCTCTTAATCGGACTCAAAGTTATATGTTCCAGTCTTCTCACTGGTGCCTCCCTTGGTCTTCTTTGTATATGCCCAAACCATCTCAACTGATTTTCTACTATTTTTTCCTCAATAGGTGCCACCCTCACTTTTTCACGTATGTGCTCATTTTGAATTTTATCTTTACGTGTATGTCCGCACATCTATCGTAACATTCTCATCTCTGTTACTCCAACTTTATGCTTTTGCTGTCCCGTTAGAGCCCAGTATTCACTACTATATAACATTGCCGGTCTGATAGCAGTGCGATAAAACTTTCCTTTAAGTTTATTAGGCACCTTATGGTTCCAAATAACTCCTTTAGCTTTTCTCCAATTAAACCACCTAGCTTGAATTCTATGTGAAATATCTCCACTGATTTCGCCATCATTTTGAGTAATGGCTCCCAAATATCTAAACTTTTTCACTTGAGATATAATTTGATCTTCCAATTTCACTTTCAAATTATTGTCGAATAGTCCTTTACCAAATTTACAATATAAATATTCCGTCTTACTTCTACTCAAACGAAAACCTTTCGACTCCAATGTCCTCCTCCATAACTCAAGTTTGCAATTAACCTCTTCTCTTGTCTCTGCTATAAGAACTATATTATCTGCGAAGAGCATACATTTCGGAATTTCCTCTTGAATATGTTCCGTCAAAACATTTAAAATCAAGTTGAACAAATAAGGACTCAGAGATGATCCCTGATGTAGTCCAATCTTTATAGGAAAATTCTTTGTTTGATCACTAAGTGTTCTTATATTAGTTTTTACCCTCTCATACACATCTTGCATGGCTTTAATATAAGCAATCCGTACTCCCTTTTTTTCCAACGCTTTCCAAAACACTTCTCTTAATATACAGTCATAAGCTTTTTCCAAATCAATAAAAATCATGTGTAGATCTTTATCTTTACAACGATACTTTTCCATTAACCCCCTTAGTAGATAAATCGCCTCTGTAGTTGATCTACCTGGCATAAAACCAAATTAATTTTCAGAAATACTTGTCTCCAATCTCAACCTGTGTTCAATTACTTTCTCCCACAATTTCATTGTGTGGCTCATGAGTTTAATCCCTCTATAGTTAGTACAATTTTGAATATCTCCTTTATTTTTATAAATAGGAATTAATGTACTTCTCCTCCACTCATCAGACATTTTCTTGGACCGTAAAATCATATTAAATAACTTAGTTAACCATCTTATCCCCTTTTCACCTAAACATTTCCACGCTTCGATAGATATACAATCAAGTCCGTTAGCTCTACCATTTGCCATTTTCTTAAGAACTTCCTTTACCTCCTTATCATGTATTATTCGATAGAATGACAAATTTTGTTCTCCTTCACCAGTTACTAAATCCTCCAAGTTACTAGATGAATCCTCTCCATCATTGAAAAGTTTAGAAAAGTAAGTCTTCCATCTATTTTTAATTTCATCATCTGTAACTAAAATTCTTCCCTCTTCATCCTTAATACACCTTACCTGTTCTAGATCTCTTGATTTTCTTTCCCTACTCTTGGCAATCTTATAAATATTTTGCTCTCCTTCCTTTGTCTCAAGGTTCTTATAAAATTTTCAAAAGCTTTAGAACGAGCTTCACCCACAGCTCTCTTAGTTTCTTTCTTAGCCATACAGTACCTCTCTCAATTTTCCTCATTATTACACAAATGTATGGCTTTAAAACAGTTCTTCTTATACTTGATTTTGTCCTGTACACTATTATTCCACCACCAAGACTCCTTATCTCTCGAACCAAAACCTTTTGATTCTTCCAAAACTACTTTTGCAACCTCCCGTATCTATTTAGCCATATCCTCCCATATGATGTTAGCACTTCCCTGAGATTCCCAAATTCCTTTATCCAAAAGATTTCACTTGAAAATATCTTGCTTCTCACCTTTTAATTGCCACCACCTAATTCTTGGTGTTACTACTTGTCGACGTTTTTGAATTTTACTCATAATACACACATTAAGGACTAGGACCCTATGTTGTGTCGTTACAGCATCTCCGAGGATTACCTTACAATTTTTACAAAGTCTTCTATCTGTGTTCCTAACTAAAAGAAAATCAATCTGTGACTTTGAGGCTCCACTTTTGTAAGTGATGAGATGCTTATCTCTCTTCTTGAAACAAGTGTTGGCAATCTTAAAATCATACGCCAATGAGAAATCAAGAAGAATTTGTCCTTCATTGTTTAGCTCTCCAAAACCAAAACCGCCATGCACCCTCGCATACTGACCAGCTTCCCTCCCGACATGTCCATTAAAGTCTCCTCCAATAAAAATCTTTTCATTCTGTGGTATGTGTCGAATCAACCCCTCCAAATCCTCCCAAAATAATTTCTTAAAACTGGCTTCTGTCTCGACTTGCGGCGCATAAGCGCTAACAATATTAACAGTCTCATGTCCAATTATCATTTTTAAGGAAATAATTTTGTCTCCAATTCTGCTAACTTCTACAACGTTCTTCTTCCACTCCTTATCTATAATAATGCCTACTCCATTGCGTGCACTTACTTTCCCTATATACCAAAGTTTAAAACCTTGAATATCCTTAGCTTCTTCTCCATGCCATTTTGTTTCTTGCAGGCAAAGGATATTGATTTTCCTTTGAATCATAACCCCTACAATCTCTACAGATTTACAATTTAATGTCCCAACATTCCAAGTACCAAATCTAATTTTGCTCTTATGGACTAACTTCTTTAGCCGCGTGCGTCCAGAATAACGCGATAGCCCTTGCTCATTTAACACTACATCCGGGCGCCGATGCAGCGGCTCTAACTCACTTATCACTATACTCGAGCCATGCAGCGCGTTACTTACGGGCAACGACCTAGCATTAACATTATAACGTCTATTGTTCATGTTCATGATAGATTCAACAAAGTTTTAAATTGACTGTTGATAGCCTAACACAACCCTCCTCCTTCACCCGGGCTTGAGACCGGCTATAAACATAAACGGAGTTATATCATTTTCTTTATTAAATAAAGCAAAACATAGCCATGACATGCATGTGTCAATGTCATACATCAAATATTTTCGGCCAAAAGAAAGGTCATCTGCACGAGTCATCCCATCTGGAAGGTATTGCGCAAGTGGAGATTGGAGACCTTGCACCTCCTGTTATATGTGTGTATGTGTGTTCAAATGGAATAAGAAGAAAAAACCTCAGCCTCACTAATCCCTTTTGTGCTTTCTTTGTTAAATTCTAATGGGGACTGGTGAGCACGTCAAAGTAAATTGTGTCCATTTTGATGATGATCAAAACCCAATCAAGTGCACCATATAGGTCTTTAGTCTTTGTTAAAATCACATGCTGAAAAAGAAAATTTATTAGTACTTTATCTCAATCAGAAATTTCAAAATTCTTTGGAAGTTCCACTGAGGTCAGCTTGAGAAAATTGACTATACAACCTTTTAGTCATTGTACAGACTACATTTAACAAGGTAACTTCAAGAATCTGATGCCAAGATAAACAAAACATATATCCAGAGAGGCATTAAATCTCAAGAAACTACTACTGTACGGTTGGTATCACAGCAAGCTGGAAGGCATAATAATCTCAAACAATTACTACACATTACCCTTTTCCTCTTTTCTCTCCACGAAATTAGGCGCTAGCCGTTCATGAACTCATTCTCTGGATCTGTAAACAGATTGAGCAAGGTTAGATTACAGAAGGACAAGATACAGAAACAGAAAAAGCTATCTGAAAAGGAAGTGAGACGTGGCAGAGCTCAATACCTTATTCACAAGTAAATTGACTTGTTCTCTGTACATTTCCTTCAAGTCCACAATATCCGCACGAAGTTCCTCCAGCTAGACATATATTTAATTACTTTTAGATAGAAAGTAACCATTCTTTTCAACGCTTTCATTAGTTAAAATTCTAACATGCTAAAAGATCATGTGCGCGCGCGCGCGTCCTAAATCCAAGTATAACCACTAGTCCTGATGTGTTTTTCTCCCCTTCTCATTTGGTTGCTAGTGATAATAAGTGAGACAATAATTTCTAAGAAAATTTATGAAAAGGGGTCATCGTGATTGTATGTGTTGCCATAGCTTATCTAACCGTTGTCAACAGCGAAATAAAAGATAACATGTCATGTTTTTAAGTTAACATAAAAGAGGTAATGCAATTGATTCTATTTGCTTGATCTGTTAGGGTTTTCTCGAACAAAGTGAGGACTCTGCTATTCCATCCTTGTTTTCGGGCAGTGACAAGTTTCAACAGAAGTATATTCATATGGTGAAAGAAAGCGAGTTCTTGGAACAGTTTGTGAGAGAACTTCTCCATTTTGCTTCTTTTCTTCTTTGTTTAGAAGAAAATTTACTCTGAATCAAGGGAAACTGAAATGTACCTCTTCATCACGTTCTCCCATTAACTCCAAAGCAGCAGAGTGCCTCTTCCTTAGTGCTTCTAACTCTGCTCGTAAGCCTGGCAACATGGTAGCCTCCCCACGCAACTTCTCACACTGCAGTGAGTGAAAGAGAATCATATTTAATAATATGACAGGCAAAGATACCATAAAGTATGAGAAGTGGAAGTTGAAGCTCACCTGTCCTGTCATTTTGACCAACTCCTCAGCAAGAGAATCACGAATAGATTCCATTGATGCCTGAATTATTATTAAACATAAAGTTCATCAATATCACAAACTTAAAATGCATTAGTTTATATCAGCTTACAGCTTGAACGTTATAACAAGTTTATGGTGCAAAAGAAACCATAGATCTACCATTGGGAAGCTATTGTGTCAGCTCAAGGAACAGAGAAGACAATCATACCAAACGTGACATATATGAAGCAAGTTCACCCTCCTTTTGACGAAGGGCAGCTGCAAAAGCATTAGGTGTCATGCTCTTCATATAGTAAGGACTCATGCTTGGCTCTCCAGGGTTTCTTCTCTCCGAGAAACTGCCAGATGAGTCCAGTGATGCCTGCAGAAAGTAGCTTTCTTCCATGCTTCCCAAGGAGCTCGCACTAGAGACTTTCCGAGATAGGTTGCCTGCATAATGAAATATAAGTTAGAGAACATTACAAGCTTCTAATCTAAGGGGAATCAGAGCATCATACCATTCTCAAAAGCAGAAATTTTCTTGGTTGTGGGAGAGTGATCATGAGCAGTCCTCTCCAAATCTACCCGTGCTGCCTTTTCCTTTTCGATCTCCTGGCCAAAATGTAGAATTTAATTCAGTAAACTTGTCAGAATAACCAGGAAGATTCCCATAAGATGTTCAGGATTCAACATATAATCAGGAATAAGAGGCAGTTATCATTTTTTGATACACAGATCTGTTCCACATGCATGCTCAATATTCTGGATTAGATTGCTCATATCATGTTTCTGTATTTTGTGATCAATATCCCTTGCAACCAAGGTACTAAAGGATGTTCACCAGTCCCAAATTCTCCAAACTCTCCTCAGATTTTAAATGTAATTTGGCAACTCATAGATGTTTATTCAATTTTCGTGAAGCTTGAATCCTCTTATCTCCATTTTTATCCATCTTACCTGTTCTCCACCTTTCCCCACCCTTCTTAAAAGCTCTTCCTTGGTCACAAGTGTTCATGCGCATGCATCATCTCTGACTCCACCATTTAATGTTCCACAGGACTAAGGGGTCCCACATTATCCCAAAGATGACATTTGCTTTAGTATTTACACATGATAGGTAAAATATACAATTTGGAATATACTCATTCCATTTTGTCCATTTAGTTGACGATGAAAAGTGCATGGGGTATCTGGAGTATCTTTTACAAGCTGATCTTACATAATAAAAACAACAGTTCCATCAAGGTAACGATTTTGTTTACTGTAATTAAGAATTCTGATTAAACAAGAAGAGTTACTATTAAAAGCTTGCATGCAGAATGTTAAAAAAAAAAAAAAAAATCCGTTGGATTGATTCATGCCCATTTACCCAAAGAGAGATAAAAAGATGCAAAATATAATTAAAAGGAATTAGGGGAGAGCATCATGCGAGGCATTATGATTAAAAATGTAAATTTTCTTTCCCAAGAAAAAAATAAACTTTCAGAGCCAGAAGCAGAAGCTTTACCTGCTGTAGATGTTCCCTCTGAATTAATGCCTCCTGTAAGTCATGTTTGTGTTTCTGCCTCAGTTCCCTAATCTCGTCTTCAAGCTGTCTCACACGACCTTCTTGAGTGTCAGCTTCCTCCTTGGCTGCGAGGTATTCCTGCCTATTTTCAGCTGCCCTTTGTCTCTCCTTCTCAAGGGACCTACTTAACTGGTTCTGTTCAGCTCTGAGGCATGAAATCTGTAATTCATCACTAGAATAAGTAATATCCGAATAGAACCCATTATGTGTGTTGTTTATTTACTCAAGAAATCGCATAACCTGAGCCTCAAGGACATTAATTCGAGACAAGGTTTGAGATAAGCGTTCATTTATGGACCGCTCTCTTTCTTCGGCAGCTGCAGCTTTAGCCTCTGCTTCCTGTAGACTCAATGGGAAAAAGATTAAGAAGCCTATTAATATGTCAATGAGATGGTTTCAGAAACTCAAATCATGAAGAATTCTAGTCACCTGTAGTCGAGAATTGAGGGTTCTCTCAACAGCAGCCCAAGCTTCTGCCCTTCTGGCATTTGTTTCCTGTTACCACGATAAATTCAAGTCATATACAACCTCCTAGCTGAACTAAGAAACTCAAGAAAAGTTTTTTTTTTCCCATATAAAAACCCTCAAAAACAGAAAAAAAAACAATTACTTAATATGCATGTTTACCTGCATGGCTTCAATTTGCCTTAAAAGTGGTCTTGTAGATTCTGGAACTTGTGTAATCAGTTCCTCACAACGTCTTTCACTTGCCTACATGAAACAGATAAACTTGAAAAGAGAAAGAAAAGTTGCTACAACTTCAACAAATCAATGAAAAATATATCATTTAAAGTACAAGCACAGCAAGAAAGCAGACCTGATATCGGTTTTGAAGATCCTCAATGTCCCTTCGAAGCATATCTTCTTTGAAGACTGCCTGAAGATGGATAATGAACACATTGATAAGAAATTTTTCAACTTATTAGCAAGAATGACAGAAAATGTAACAAAAACCTGTTGCTCCTGTCTACTTAAAGTTTGCCTCAATTCTTCAAGTGCCTGGACCAGCATGGATTCACGTTCCTCAGACTCTCTTTGACGACTCTCTAGTTCAGTTCTAGCTTCAGTGTTAGCACGTGCCTCTGCTAATGCTTCAGCCTCCTTAGCAGCTGCTAAAGCATTAGAATAATATTCTTTCTGTGCTGCAAATTCTGTTTGATGCTTCTGTATTGTTTCCTGCAATAACTTCTCTGTAGCCAACTTGTCCCTCTTGATACTTTCTACCTTATTCTCCTCCACCTGGATTACATACCATGAACCGCACAGCAGTTTGCAGGAGTTTTAAGATACCAAAAAAAAAAAAAAGTAATTCAAACTTAAAAAACAAAATCAATGGCAAATGAGTGTTATACCGTTTATATCACATGAAATTTCCACGCATTCAGGTATCATGATGAGTGAAGAAATTTACTTGAGAAAAATTACCAACTAACAGAAACTTCAAGAAATACTTTCATAACTCAATTACCTGAAGTTTAGTAGTCAAACCTTTCTTCTCCTCCTCAAGCTCTCTAATCTAGCTTTCAGCAAAAAAATTAAATAGAACTTTAATGCATCGTGTCCACAAAGAAAAAGATTAGAATTTGAGAAAAAGTGCAATTAGTAGCCTGCATACCTGAGCCCTTAATTTCCTCATTGTAGCTTCCTGAGCAGCCTGCTTTTTTGAAAGCTCTTCACCTGAAATGCAGACAATTTAATACTAAGAGAACTTATTTTGCTCAACCAAGTGAACTATTAACATGCTTCAAACAGAGTACCCTCCAAATTACAAAAGCAATTCCAATCAGATGACAAGCTTGAACAGTAAGGTTCACACAAAAAAAAAAAAAGTAATTATACAAAAGTATTCTTCCCCATCTAATGCTCTTTTTTCCCCAATATACCTTGTTTAACTTACAAAAGAAATTTCCACAATATGACAGTATTTGTTTTCTAAATATGTTAAACAACAGAAAGGTTCACTTACCAATTTCATAATACAACATTATCCTTTTCTATCCAAAGCTCTCTATTCTCCAATATACCTTGTCAAATCGCTTTCACCACTGCTGTAAAGCCAAAGATTGAAGGCATGGAACGGCAAGGTTGCTAAATTATGCCTCACATGCCCATTTAGGAAAGCTCACCCCATATGGCTCAAGTTGATATATTCTATGAGCATAAGAGAAGTGAAACTACATTCTAAACTTTTTTAGAATATTTAGAGCCCATGACTGGTAGCAATAAAATCTCCTTCAACAGAATAAGTGAAATATATCCAAGTAAAACGCAGGGCAAATATAGAGATCCAATCAGCATCCAGATGTTCAATGCCCAAAAAATTGATATTGTCAGTTAAGATTCTTGAAAAAATCATTTGTTATTTCAATAATAGCGCAAGATCCCTCTTGTGTAGATCCAAATTTATGATCACACTGGGGTCAATTCCTGGATCCAGCTAAGTTTTGGACACCTGTGCCCTAATGAACAGTTTATTTAGAGCTGTAGTTTGCCACCTAAAACATCATGTCATCATATCTAAAAGCACTAAAAAGTCAAAAAAAATTATCTATCCATTAAATTTTGAAGACATTTTTCATTGGTTTTTTAAAAAGCATATCATGTTTCTGAATTTTATAGGATTGATTACAGATATCTCTTTACCTTCAACCATAACTTGAGTAATTATTTCATCCTTTTCCTTCAATAAAGCAGCTGCATCACTTCTTTTACTCTGCTCTCGTCGAAGCGTATCCCTTTCCTTAGTGAGAGCATACAACTGCAATTATTCACATTAAAAAAAAAAAGAAGCATCAAAACTGCAACAGTTATTGCAGAAACTAGACAGTCTACTACTAAAAGCTTACACATAACTCCAATAATCCACTTTGATAAATCAAATTCTGTGAGAAAATGCTAGCACAGATGCGCACTGCTTAAATTAAAATGCTACACCTACCTTAGCAAGAATTTAAGTGCTTTCACTAAGGTTTCATGGTAACCACATATAAAACATAGGCACTGATATTGCTAAAATTTGATTGGTACACCTTCATTGGCGCATAAAATGGACAAAGCAGAGGACAAAGAAAACAGAAAATTTTATAAATCAGAAAACCAATATATTCCCATGTTATAGGACATGAACAATGCAATTTGTTCAAACCCACCTGTCTCTATTCCTTCATATTTTAGCTTTGAGTGATTAGGCACATGATCTTACACCTATTGCTCAATGGAAAACAATCTAAAATGATGAGATATTGCAAAATACAGAAACAAATTCCAAATCCAAGAGCCATGTCGCATCATGTTAAAGTGTGGGGTTACAATTTTCTTATTATTATGGCTTGTTGTTGTTGTTGTTGTTGTAAAAGAAACTCCAGGCTCATCCCTCAAAATTTCAAGGCATTAATAGGTAACCTTTATGAATTTTATTATAATTAAAAGGCACAAGCACCCAGCAACTAGGGTGGCATCAGACTGAAATGGATTGCACATGACATGAATATTAAGAACATCATTTCAAGCATGAAAATATTATCCTAAAGAAACTAGTTCCATATCAGATGATAAATTACATCACTTCCCTTCTACATGCTGCATATTTTGTTGGTTGTAACAACGTTAATTGAAACTACATTAAAACTACAGAAAGCTACACACAGCTTTTCACCAAACCTTGAGTGAACATTATAAATAACTTTGACAACCAATGAAAATGACAAAGAATTATGATGAGCCATACCTTTCGCTCAAGAGTTGCAATCTTCTGATGATATTCCTCACGCAAAGACTCAACTTCTGCCTCATTGGATTTTCTCTATTCCACGAGCAACAGCAATAAAGGAAGTGGGAAATAGAAGATAAGCAGAAGATGATAAAATTTATATTAAAAAAAAATCAGCCAACTACTTTACGAGAACACAAAAGAATTTCTCTAGAAAAAATGAAAGAAGAAAGCTGGCATGTGATAAGCAGGAAAAAGAAACATCCAAGCTAGGTTATTGTTAAGCAAAAGCAGGGTGCACATAAACAATGTCTTACTACATGCATTGCCTGAAAACAACAGTGTTTGATTTATAATACTTCTAGACCTGACACATGCTGAATTAAGAAGTTAAACCCAAGAAATTCTTGAACTCTGAAAAGTTTTTAAAGAAATGACCATTACGCTGCTGAATGCCTGCATCGTTGATGATTCAAATACAGCTCATTCTTTCATGACATGAGTAAAAATCTTACAGCATTAGCCAAATAATAAATTATGTGTTTCCATAATGCCAGATCATGTAAAGGAAAAGGTAAATGGGACCCAAGGCTAGCATCTGAGTCACAGTAAACAAAACGTGTCAATTCAGCAGACAAAAGTGAACATATGGCTGGCGTTTAAATGACTAGATCATTGAGGATTGAATAAAACAATAGGGGAAAAAAGAGAATTTAGAAAGATTAAATACAAGCAACAACTAAGGTAATAGAAAATTATACACCTTTAAATCCTCAATCATAGCTTTCATGTGTTCATTTTCACTCATTAATCTGGCAATCTCATCAGCTTTAGCCTGCAAAGAAATTTAAAACATCTTAGTTACAAGATTGCAATGGAAATATGGAATGTTAAATACTATGCTGAGTTCAACACGTGAACAAAGAAGACCAAAAGAAGAGTAACATAGATGCAACAAGCATGCAGCTTATTGATAAAATGGGACACTAGGAAGAAGAGTACCAAAAGCAAATGATATTTGGCAACTAATGGATGCCTCACTTTTGTGACAAGGCAATTGCAACAAGTTGATAGTATAATTGTAACAATTGCAACAATTAGATTTCTCTGAAAGGGTATGCATGGCAGAGGTAGTCCAATAAGATTTAAAGAGATTCAAGAACTATCAAGCTAGTAAAAATTTTTAACAAGATCAGCATCCAACAACACAACATGCATTAGGGAAAGTAAGCGTGCACAGCTGATTGTGGCAAGAATAATTTATCATGGAACAATTATCAATCCGTCCAAATATTGCACAAAAATACAAGTTTTGACAAAGTGAATTTGAAGCAGAATCTTACAGTCTGATCTCTACACCACTTCACAATCTTAATATTTTTGTTATATGGACAAAAAGCTTGATAATTTTTCTTGTCCAAGACAAAGCTAATTGACACTTATGTTTTTAATTAAGAAGAAAGGGATGAAAGCGAGATACAACTATCAAGAAACCACTTCATCATATTCCCATGCTTAACATTACAAGAATTGGTCCCTAAATTGTCATACAACCCAACCTTGATAAATTATTTCAGGAAAAAAAAAAGTGTTGCTATCATGATTAAGTGCAGCAAAAGAAATACCTGAGCTTGTCTTGCAGCACCTTGAAGTGCAGTTTCCATCATTTTCATCTCACTCTTCACCCCTCCAGTTCAAGCAAAGAATCTGAGTCAGACTTACCTGTTACAGAACTTAACTGCCGCTCTTTCTTGTCAGTTTCAACATCACTGACCAAATGATCCCCCTCAATTGCCCTAAGAATTTCTTCATTTTCATGCAAACCCAAATTGGGTAGCACAATAGAAGACTCGTTAGGAATAGCATTGGTTAAGTGTTCATTATATGACTGATCAATGCTATCAGTTTCCTCAGTAGCCACATAATGCAAAACAGGAGGCTTTGTCTCATCTCCATCCTCACCGTGACCTGATTCCTCACGTTGGACAGGAGAAACTTGCTCCATACTTGCTTTTTCTTGCACCCTCTCTTCTTTACTCTCATCTTCTGTCTTGTCTTGCACATCAGCAACACCATGTGACTCACTTTGCTCACTCAAACTACTCTCAACTTGATCCTGCCCAAGATTAACAGGCTTGGGTTGCACTGACACTAGGCTTGCAGTAGTCTCAACTTCACCAATTTCATTTTCTTGAGGGCTGTCAATAGACACAGAACGTTCAACATTCTGAATGGCTGGTTCAGACAAATCAGCTGACATTGCTGGTAACTGGTTTTCTGCCTTTTCATGGTCTGACTTCTGCATTATGGTTCCATTAGCTGACTCTATATGCTCATCACCCTCCTGTACTGTGATCACTTTCTTTTCTTCTCCAGAAGCAATTTCTTCAGCTTCAGTATGGGCTGCATTATCAGGTCCAACCATTTCTTTTCCCTCGGTTATTGTTGGATGATCTAAAGGCTCATTTTTTTCCATCACGTCCTCAGATACAGGTTTTTGTTTAGACGGTTCAGACTGTCCAGATGTTTTCTCAGTACTTTCCTCACTGTTATTCCCCATTAAGGTCATAACAGGATTGAATAAGCTTTTCTTTTCTGTAGCAACAGGCCATGATCCTGCACCTGCAAGACAAATGATAAGAAGCGCAATACCATAATTAGCAGGAAAAATTTAATATAGATTTCCTCTAAGAATGCGCATGCTGTTTTGGAACATTATAATTTCTCACTAATTTGAACATCCAAATTCCAAAGCATGATGGCGCCCTCTAGCTTATACTGCTTGATAATCCTTTGCAGGTACTCCAGTTACATGTTCACACAGCATAGAAATCCACTGAGAAAAACTAGTGTTTAGAACTTGGGCAATGTAATTACCTTCACTGCTGGATTCAGACTTCTCTTCAAACCCAAGAGCGGAGTCAAAATTTTTCTCAATATTCTTCACACTCTCCTGAAGCTTATTCACTGCTCCCGCCAAATCAGGGAAGTTGCCCCATGAATTTGTTCCACTAAACCACGCCATCTTCAAACAAGAAACAAAAAGAAAGTCATTGCACAAGTTACTCAAATCTCGCCAAAAAGACTAAATTTTCATTTTATATAATTTCATATTGCACAAATCAAGAACAATGAAACAGATCAAAAGCAATCAAATTCAATCCATGCATCACAAGAAATCATCACTCCAAGCATCGAAAAACAGTTACTTATCCGAATATCATTCGTCTATAGAAAATGGGCACACCAAAAAAAAATGGTCGATTAAAAAATGCGAGTTATAATCCTGTAATCTGTCAATGAGAAAACAGAGATTAATGCAGAGGAATCGAATTTGTGAAGGGAAACAATTCTTGACGAATTCGAACCTTGGGGGCCCGTGATCAAGCGACGTCCTTGGATCCGGCAATCAAATCATTGTTTCAACAGATTGAGCTCATAGTTGTGTTAACGAGTTTCGTTTTAAAAATGTAACATAAACAAAATGGAGGGGGAAAACAGATTTGCCAGTGAAATTCTCTGAACTCAAAGAAGCATAAGAAAGGGAAAATGGGCATGGGAAGAAACACGAGAAGAGAGTGATATGGTATGGTGGGAAAGCCGATGATTTGATGAACTAAGCAAACCCAGGCGGTGGATTGTCCGACGCGAAAATTAGCTCCCAGACCCGACGACGCTGGTGACGTCTGCAACGGTAGTCGTATTAGGCTGTTAGCTTCTCTGTTTTTTAGACCAAAATTAGCTTCTCATTAAATACGACTCTCAAATTGTAAAATATTTTTAAATAAAATTTTATATATTAATAAAACTCATTAAATATATTTTATAATTTTATTTTTTTAAAATAAAAATATAAACTTATCAAAATATTTTTTATTTAATATTTTATTTATAAAAAATATTTAAAAAGAGAATATATAAAAAGAACAATATTAAAAAAATATCATTAATAAAAATTTATTTTTATTAAAATATCTTATATTTTAATATGCTAAATCTCCTCTAAAAATGTCTTATAAGATGAAGGGAGTAATTCATATTTTACCTGAATTGCATGAATTTTTCCCACTTCTTTAAATTACAAAATTAAATGTCCCTAAAGGTGAATAATAAAAAGTTTAAGATATAAATTTTCACTCAACAATAATAACAAGTTTTACTTCATTAAATAAAGTTAACATAAATTGCCCCATGTTATTGTACCTTATCAACAAACAAGGATTTAAATATATTGATATTCAAAATGTCTCATTCAACAATTTTTTTAAATGTTCTCTTTATTTTTTATTTGTCCATTTTTAAATAGCTTAAGATTATTATTTTTCATTTTTTTCGATACCTCCCATAGTCTTTTCTATACATATCCAAATCACTTCAAATAATTTTTATTATATTTTTTTAATAGACATCACACTCACTTTTTTTTTTATATATGCTCTCGTTATCATCTATGCTACTTGAATTTTACACCTGTGTTATCCATTTAAAGTAAAGCCTAACTTGGGCAAAAAAAAAAATCTTACATTCATTACTATATAACATAATTAGTTTTATAATAATTTGATCAAACTTCCATTTAAACTTTATTAGATATCTTTTGATCACAAATTATTCTTGCAGTCTTCATTTGAATAATTGCTCTCAAATATATAAACTTTTCCACTAATGGTATTAGTTGATTTTTCAATTTCACTTTCAAATTACTACTACCTAACATCTCATCAAAATTATAATACATATATTCCATCTTATTCTTACTTAGATAAAAATCTTTTGACTCTAAGGTCATTTTTCCATAACTCTAGTTTGAAGTTAATCTCTTCTTGATTCCACGATAAGAACTACATTATTTACAAAAAGCATTAAATTAAGAGTTTTCTCTTAAATATGTTCAGTCAAACAAGTAAGGGTTCAAAAATAATTCCTAATGTAGAAGAGCCATTATAGGAAAGTCTTTTATATCATCACTTGTTATCCTTGTACTAATTACTACTTCTCATATATATATATATATATATATATATGCATAGCTTTAATATAAGCAACTAAACTCCTTTTTATCCATGACTTTCCAAATCATAAGTTTTTCCCATTTCAATTAGAAAAAAGTATAAAAACTTATGACTAAGTGTATGTTTGATTTTCAATTTATCAAAAATTTATTTGGTGAAAGTTCATTTGATGAAAGTCGATTTAGTAAAAATTAGTTATTGTAACAAAATTTATATTTGAATACTTTTTTTCAAAAGTCAGTTGATACACTGAAAGTTATTTAAATTATGATAGTGAAATATACTTTTGAATGTACAATTACTAAAAAAGATATTAATTTATGATGATTTGTAGTTTTTATTATATAAATGTAATATATTTAAAATATTTAAAAAATATGATAAAGATTTTAAATAACATAAAATTTGATCTATAATGCTAAAAATTTAATTTCTAGTTATTTATACTTTTTAAATTTTTAATTTTAAAAAATGAGATAAAGACTTATAATTTTTATTATATATTATGCTAAAAATTAACATGATTAATTATTTAATTTATAATTTATAATGCTAAAAACTTGATAGCTAATCATTATTATTATTATTGAAACGATAATTATATTTTTAATGAATTAACTATTTTTAAATAAAAAATTAAACTTGTGATAGTATGATTAAATAATACCTCACTTTTCAAATTCATTTTTTCAAAAGCTAAAAAATGTAGCTTTCAGTTTTTATGTTTGAATCTAGTTAGAAAGTCCTTTCTAAAAGCACATTTGATATAATAAAATAACCCCAAACAATTTTTCACATCTCAAAAATAGAAAAACAATTTTGAAATATAAAAAGTAAATAAATCAAATGGTGCCTAAGACTTGAATTCCTTTTCTAGGAAATTTAAAAATAAGTATATGATGATACATTAAAAAAATCAACCAAATCCATCCATCTATTAACGTCGGGAGTCCATTGCAGTGATACATTAACAATAGTATAATTTATTATTAAAGTTTTTTATATCATATGGATTTATTTTTTAAAAATTTATCGGATTCTATTATCAGTCTATAATATAATTAATTAAAGTAACTTCAAGCATGTGAACCAAATTCAAAATTTAGACACATTATTCATAGCTCATTAACAATATGATTTTTTAATGATATTGGCTAATCATGCATTTGAAAAGAAATAACATTAAAAAAGATTATGCGGAAACATTATGATTTTCCACACATTTTTAAACTTTTCAGTGCATTATAATTTATAATTATATAAAATGTAGGTTCCCTATAGATTATCAATATTTGAATCCTGTCGCTATTTTACCTTTCACAACATAAACACAGGCTTCAGGCTTTCACGGGACCACTTGCAGTCTTGCATCATGACAGTATCGGGATAATTTTTACTCAATTATCTTATAGAATTTCTCTATTTGATTTACCAAAAAAAGAATTTCTCTTATTTGATTACTCTATTTTTGGGCTCCCCAACAATTTTAACTTTCTTATCACCAACTTAAACTTCATGGTCTGATGGTTCCCAGACTTCTGACCAATAATCCCTCCTCATTGAATCCCACAGGCTAGGGTTTTATACCTTTGCATCAAATCTTCTCACCTATACATACATTTCAATACTTACTCTTTGAAATTTCAGTTCACAATCTCGACATGTATTGAATGACTAAGAGCATGTTAAATTTTATATTGGAAACCATGGTTTAAGGGTGCAAAACAACTCAATTTAAAAATTAATAATTTAAGAAATGGTATAATAATTTTAAAAATAATTGTATAAGGCAAAAAAATATAATAACATAAGTAAAATTATATATTTTTTCATTTTGGGAAACAATACATTGAGGATGTATTTGGGCAAAAATGTATTGATAAGGTTGATATAGAGTGTACGCCTGAAAGAAAAAAAAACTATTATCTAAGGGTTTCAAAACTAATCCAAATTGAACTGAACTAGCATAAGCTGATTAAAATCAATTATAAATAAAGTTTGGTTTGGTTTTTCTTTTCAAAAAAGCCAATTAGTTTGATTTAATTCAAGTTTTTACTTTTAAAAATTTTAATTAAATCGAATTAAGTCTTATTATATTTATTATGTATATTTTTATAAATTTGTCAAAGTTTTGTTCCCCTTTCACATTTAATTATTTGTAAATCATTAGTAAAAATGAGTTACAATTAGCTAAATACTATTTATAACAATTTATGATAATTTTTAAAATTTTATAATTAAGTGTTTTAAAGATAATATATTAATTTTTAATAGTTAGGTATACTAATTAATTGTTAAAAATATTCTTTTGTGCTCAAGAGATTTTTTCATTACAAATAATAATTATTAATTAAAAATTACCAGCGGACACAAGTATATATTAATGATTAAAAAGAATATCTCATTAAAAAAAATTCAAACTTGATCCAGATTTAAATAAAACAAAACCAAACTTAGAGAGGGAAAAAAAACCAAATAGGTTCCAAACTATAGTAAATTGATTGGTCAAGTTCAATCTAATTTTTTCTTAAAATTAAACCAAATTAAACTTATGAATATCCTTACCTTTAATATGTTTAATGAGTTTAATTTTTTTATTTGAATTTATGAAACCAGTTAAAATATCATACATGTAAAAAGCTTTTGAATTCAAATATTTTTTATTTAGTCTATAGGTTCAAAATTTTAAAAATAAGAGTGCAGGATTGTGAAATTTACATAGGGAGAATGATAATTAAGGACCTTTAAGAACATTAATCCTAATTATAGACTGTAAAATTTTAAAATTTCAGTTAAGGACCATGGTCCTTAATTGCAATAAAAAAATATAGTTTGTGAGGTGAAATTTAGTATTATTGCTTAAAAATTTACTAACCCAACTTAAAAAAATTTGTAACATATATTGTGAAAACATGAACCTCCACTTAAAAATCAATTGTTTAACAAAAAGCGCCACTTAAAAATTCACTAACTCAACTTGAAAAAATTTCTAATGTATATTGTGAAAACATGAAACTCTACTTGAAAATCGATTGTTTAATAAAAAACATTAATTTAGACAAATCACTTTTTATTAATAATTCTCAAGTAGAGTTTTATTTTTTCACAATATACATTAGAAATTTTTTCAAATCTAGTTAGTAAATTCTCAAATGGTGCTTTTTGTTAAACATTTCATTTCTAAGTAGGGTTTCATATTTTCACAATATACGTTGGTAATTTTCTCAAGTTGGGTTCATAAATTTTCAAGTTGTATTAGTGAATCCTACTTTACAAATTATATTTTTTAATCACAATTAAAAATCATAATCTTTAACTAAAATTTTAAAATTTCACGGTGTGTAATTAAAATTAATGTTCTTAAAAAATCCTTGATTGTCATCCCCTTTTTTACATACCCCATATATAATTTTTTCCATGTGAAACTAAACACGCAATTGGCGATTGGCCGCCACTGTGATAAATGCAATTGGCGATTTCCAATGTGAAACTAAACACGCAACTAGCTTTCTGACACCCCGAGACAATGAATGCACACTTTTTATTCTTTCATGTAATAATGGCATTAAACCAAGTACATTTTTTTCTTTGCACAGTCATTTAAGCCCTGCAACAAAACCCTCAGCTCTTCTGTCTTCCAATCCTCTCCAAGAAAAAGAAGTTACTTGGACCTTTAAGAATCTCCATAAAATCACACTCTCGCATAACCTTGGCAGCAGAATTCACTAACCCAAGATATCTGAAATTGACTTGTTCAAGATTTGAAACAGCTCCTGCCTGTATCAAGAAAGTACTTTCAAGTGAGAGAGAAACACAGTCAGCTTCAAAAATTTATTTTCTTTCTTTACAGATATTCATTACGAATGTAACATGATATGGGGGTTCTATTAAAGGTCATGAGTGAGTTAATATAAGATGATTCTGATGGAAACTTGAATATAGGTCATTGACATTCTTCTTACCTATCAGGCTTGAACAAGAGATAGCGGTAAATGAACCACTGAATCAAAACAGAGAAAGTTGAGTTGATTAGTCATTGTAAATTAATCAAGGATCTACAAGTGACAAAAACACAGAATTAGAATGATTCAGTGATCAGTAAATTTGAATGATCTCAACTTATGGTGTTTTAATTCCACAAGAATTATTTAGCACTGCCTAAATTATGAGTGTGGCACTTACTGAGCTGAACAGTATTCCAATTAATTCCAGTGCACCTGGGATAACTGGCAATTTATCAATGGCCTACACAGAAATCACAAATTGGGAAAAACAATAAGAACTAAAACAGCAAACTTAGAGGAATAAAGTACGGACTGAATAGCTAATGTGCTTGAAAAGCAGTATAAACCAAATTTCAGTTGACCACAGCATGAAGCAAAAAGTTTATCACCAAAGCTGTTGTGGAAAACTTTACCTGATACCTCAAGGTTACTTGGAAGGTTATAGATTAAAATATGTACAAAAAACCACAATCAGTTACATTTATTTACAGCTCAAATGTAATAATCCACATCTAACATTGAATAGTTCACAGTCCCTATCAACTTCTAAACTTGTAAGATCTAATAGTTTGTAATACAGTTTCCACATCTTCATAGTTCAGAGTAGAAGAAAGATTCATTTTCGAAAATAATATTAAAAAATAGTGAGCATTACCGTAATCAGATTTACTGATGCCCAAAGTGCCACCACAGCTGTAAATCCCAAACCAATTAGTCCCACCCGATCCTCAGGCTTTATCCCACTGTTTTTAAATAAACAAAGAAGAAACAAACAAGCCACTTAAACAAGAAGGAACTTTCTGTGTTTGAATGAGTGAGATAAAAAAATAGATAGATAGACATGAGAGAGTGAAGGTGTGGTGAACTCACGACATTCTGAACAGACTTAAACACAGTAAGGGAGGTTGAAGATTCAGAACTTTCCCCAGTAGCCTTCACAGTAAACACACTAGCAGCATGATTCTGTCTCCCTGTGGTGAGCGCAAATACCAGAATTCATGAAACAAGGAATTTAAGCATGACACGTAAAAATACGTATAACATGTTAACATTCCCTATCAATACAAGTTATAAGTAATCAAATGAATACAAAGTACTGTGACTCTGTTCATAATCATTATAGCTTCCTAGAGCAGCTTTCCTGCAGAAATCTAATGGGGAATTCTATTTGAATTAAAATTATACTGTTAGAATCACTTGCAAACTAGACTTCTGATCCAAACAATCGCAACTTCTCACCAATTTCACTTCTACCAAGATCTTGTGCAACTTTAGAAATTTGGGAGACAGCAAACTTCCCAATTACATGCCCCAGGTTGCAACTTGGTCATTTGATCACATTTTCCCAGCCTCCCCAACCCATACCAAACACACTCATCCCCATCAAAATTCAAAATTTCACAGGAAATTGGAACTAACATTTAAGTATCTCCCCCAGATCACTCACTTGGACATAAGCCACCGATGCTTAAAATCCATAATTAATATTCAATTGCATGCTACTACCTACAAGTGTAAGCAGTGAAAACAGATGAACAAATACACATGGATTTAAGATATTCGAAACCCCCACACTTATATATATATATATATATATATGTATAAGAAATTGACATTTGAAAGAGAAGCAAATTGCCAAGACAAGGTTACCTGTTACAAGAGAAATAGGGGACCTTTTGAAGTTCCCTGAAAAAGGTTTTCCACCATGGACCAGTAATGCTGGCGGCAGGTTACAAGTTATCGAAGCCATTTGCCGTCAGAAGCTCCAGCACAAACTTGTGAAAATAAACATTAAATACTAAATTTTTTTAGTGCACCGTTCCTCATTCAAAGCCAGAGACAATCAGATGAAAGAAAACAAAAGTAAAACTCTAAAATTAGGAAGCAAATTAGTGCTTTACCTTATGCTGCTTCTGCAATTTGTGAGCCTTGGAGAGGCAATGTTTCAGAGAATTCTACTCAAAACAGCACACACCTTGAAAAAGAGCGTCCGCTTTCGAACCTCCGATTCGTTTCAGCCACAAAATGTTGAGAGGTTGGGCCTATCATACCTATCATGGATCACGGCAAAACGACACACCATAGAAATCCTTTGATGCCGTTTAGTTTGGTCCTGGAAAATTAGCACTTGAATAAACGTTTAGTTTGATTCCCACCCCCCCCTCACTTTATTCATTAAATTAAACATCTTCCTAAAAATATATTTTGAACTTGCTACTACAGAACTTGATCATTTTACTCTAGTTCTCAAAAGAATACTAAGGGTTCCATGATATTCCTAAATCATATGTTAAACAAGTTAAAAGAGAAAAACATAATTATAAAGTTCAAGCGTAATATCCATCATATTTGACAAAGCATCATGTCCTTCAAAATCATTATATCATTATATTGTTTAATCGTGACATTTTTAGGCCACTTTAATCATAGCATATTTCAAAGGAAATTAAACATAAACTTTATATTAGGTCATTCTTGTATTTTATTTTCCTTAATAAAATTTATACGACAGAATACTTGAGACATTATTAGGTTGAAGAAGTCTTCTTGTAGTAAGTTTAGGTTAAGTAAGTTAATAGATAGTAGATGTGAGACTAATGTGATTATTAAGCATTCAATTTTCATATAAAAATGTCATATTTGTCAAAATATTATATCACTCAAAATGCTTTCAACATTTTGGTTTATAGTCACAGCAATATCATATTAGTTCTAAATCTTTTTTTTTTTTGTTGATGAACTTAACTAAGACAACAATCTTTAGAGTATTGAAATAAAAGCTTGAATTGAAGTTCACATCTTGGTCCTGCTATATTTTTGTCTTCATAGCCCACTTGGTTGGTTCTACAGATAGTTTGAAAAATTCATTAAAGAACCATTTACTTAACTAAAATAGAATGTTACTGTAGGAAGTCTTTTAACAATAATTATTTTATGCTTTTTATATTGATTATTAAAAATAAATAAAGAGAGAGAAGTGAAAAGTTACAATGTGAAAAATACTTCTCACATCAATTCCGTATCAGTTACTTATATAACTAATATGAAAAGTCTTTAAAAAACAAATAATTTTTTTAAATGATCTTTTAACAATATTTATGGAGAAAACCATTGTAAATTTTTTTTTTACAATGGTTATCTGCAAATAACCATTACAAAAAAATTTCCACAATGATTTTCATATAACTATTGTTAAAAGTTTATTTTTTTAAATTTTTTTTTGTACATCCAAAACTTAAATTGTATGGATTATATAACAAGCATAAACATTCAGCCAAAAAAATCACAATTATTATACAACAAGTTACAACTACACTAATATATATTTATAAAATTAACTAATATAATATTTTTCTCCTTATAACTAATATGTTAATTTATATATATATATATATATATATTTGTTCAAATACTAAAAAAAATAAAAAATATATAATTAATCCAATAACAATGTTAACAAAATACTCAAATATAAAAATATTCAATTAAATCAACTATTATTAAGTACAAATTTGAGAATTAATATAAAGATTTGAAGATATAAATTCATCTATAAAAATACTAAACTATACATATATTCAATTAAATAAACCAATCACAAGACTAATAGGCAATAAAAATTAAGAAAAATAAATAAAAATAAAGAATTACGATAGAAGAGCTAGCAAAATCTCCCTAATAGAAGAGGAAGATGGAAGAAAATGAGTACACCATACCTATAAGTTGAAATAACAAGAAGGAGAATGAAAGTGGAAGACTTATGCATTGGTAGCCACCAACACACCACCCAAGGCACCCATATATCACCCACGACCAAGAGAGTGGAAAAGGAAAGGAAAAGTACTTCAAATGGAAAGAAAATACAAAAGTGGAGGAGAAAAAGCTTACTCTTCTAGTTCTGTTAAAAATGAAGGAAAAATGAAATATGCATCTCTATGGAACCTAAACATTGATAGCGATGACAACGATGATGGGCAATAATATAACGTTCATCCTCCATTAAACACATTTAATGAATAAAGCTTATGGTAATCGAGGGATTAGTTTCGAAGAGTGATTATTAAGGTTTAATCTAAAAGAAAAAAATCCCAATTTTTTAAACAGAAATGGGTTAAAAATCGATCAAAACCTTTCATATTAAAGTAAAAATAAGTTTTAGAAGTATGAGATACTTCAAAGAAGTGAAAGAAGTCGAAAATGGTTGAAAATAAATTGTGCACTAAAATACAGAGCAATACACCTCGACAAACGTACTCTACGTCGTGGCGTGTTGCTCTCTGTGCCACGCGTGACGGTGTGTTGCACGATTCTTTATGGTTCTGCTGTCATTTGACAGCAGAATTGGGGGGAACTTTTGACTCACCTCAATTTTTCGTCCGATGTTCGAATGACATGATCTAGGTGTCTACAGAAAGTTCTTTTCCTGTACTAGCTAATGGCGCGCGGGTTTTACTCTTAAAACAAGTCACACTAGGAAGTTGGACACTCAAACACATTTTAACCACTTTTTAACACTTTAACACAAAATAGGTGTCCAAAACCCTCAACAAGTGTAAAAGCTTTTCCTAACATTTGGATCATGTCTAATGGACCTAGGACTAATAGTACAACACGGCACAAGCCCCAAAACGACAAAACATCATTATAACTGAAATTTACTTCTCAACCCCAATTTACCAAAAACAAAGGGGGAGGTAAATTAGCATTGCATTTAATTCAAATCATCAAAACATGTTCAAAACTTCATTTCTACACTTGCACTAGTATTTTGACCCTATAAACATATGTATGATAAAATACACAAAGGCTAAGGGCTCAAAATATAATTCTAACATTTCACAACCAAATAGTGCAAGTAAGGTAATATGCATCTTAGAATTAGCAAGCGATGTACTATTACACGATTAAAGCTATATAGAGGCATATAGTAAGAATATGCTAATTCCCCACCTCTTTAGTCTTCCCTCTCAACACCAAAGTTAGAGCCTGAAAAGTATTTAATAAGAGGGGCAAGTCTAGTCACTCAGTAACTAAGGTTAAACTTACCCTATATAGTTATATATCAATTATAAAATAAATACATGCACAAGGAGATCAAATTATAAAACATATCCCCATATATCACATTTTATCAGTTATCACTTTATAGCTTCCTCAACTAGGTACATTGTCATCATATTCTCAGATATGTGACATGACCCATACTCTTGCCGACTTGCCACCACTTAGCACGTGTAACACGTCATATATTACTGAGGCTATAATCAACCAACCTTATCTCTCCTTATTTTTCATATTGAAACTGTGGGCTTTAACATTGATTAGGGCTTCGTCCATGTGATTGACATACCCAAGCCGCCAATCATGAGGTGTGACCCGACCAAAGATTACAGAACTCACTCAGGTGTGACCCGACCAAAAATTACAGAACTCACTCTCGAACCATGGCTTCCCCCATTCTCGAATCCCTAGGGTGTCTTATTCCCTAAGCTATTCTTTCATTGAACCGATGGAGATAGTTAGGTTCTAGTCTCTCGACAAACTATGGGATAGTCCCTTGACAAATAGTGGGACAAGGCTATAGCCCCCGTGCATCGAAGGGTAGCCTAATTACCATATGAATTTTCTCTACTCTAAATTTCTAAGCAAACTGCCGCCACTGATCATGCCATAATCATTACTCACTTGAGTTTACTTTTCACTTTCATATACTCACTATTACAACAACCATATTGGGCTCACTACCTTGCACTACCCAAATATGTATTCTCATCATTTTTTCAAAATATTTCTTATTAACACAAAAACTATTTCTACACATCATCCCATTCATTTTCTTAAAAATATAGGCATATTCATAGTAAAATCCTCTTAACTTTGCACTTGCATTTTCAAGCTCAAAAATAGCTTTTTCATGCACTCAAAGAAACTAATATATAGTTCTTACTTAAACAAACCATCCCATGCATGTAAGCATTTATAATTTCATATTCAGAAATAATTAATAATCAATTAACATATAACTACTCAAAGTAATTTTTCCCCTAGTTACTTCAAACCTTTGAGAGGTTAAAGGTTTACCTCTCAATTAACTAGCTTTCAAGCTTGAATTTTCACTCCAATAGGTGATCAAGAGCTAAAACTATAATCAACCAAATTAATTCCATCAATATAACAAACTCAAACATTTGAACCCTCAATCTTTACTTCTACATTGGCCAACCTTCACTTTATAAGAGGTGGAGTCTAACCATTAGGTTAATAATTACCTTTAGCTCCCAATAGCATTATGAGCTATTAAATTTTCATTAATGGCATCACAACTTTCAACTACCCTAATAAATGAAATTTTTTGGGTATTAATGATGCCTAACAAACCAAGACATCAAAACTCATCATACCTAGGTTTAAATACTCTAATCTACCCCATTAACTCCATTTGAGTCAACAAATTCAGATCCATAACTTATATAGATTAAAAATCTTCACTTTCACTATCAAATCCTAACTATAAACTCATAAATGTGGAAGAAAATAGGAGATTAATGAGTATGATACTTACCTTAGGTGTTATAGTATTTAAAATACTCTCAAAGTGATCCCTAACTAAACCATAATAGAGCTATGATGTGCCTCTTCTTTCTCTCTTTTCTCTCCTTTCTTTTTTGTCTTATTTTGCACCTGATAAAGTGCAAAAAAAATGGCCATGCGTCGTGTTGCATAGCACAAAGAGGTCCTCCCTCGCTCAAAGATGGCTGTGCGCCTCGGCGGACGATCTACGTGCCTGCACCGTGTGATATAACAACTTCAACTCTCCTTTTCTTCTCCTTTCAATGCCTGTATAAATAGGGTTTAAAATAGTATTAAACATGATTTTTAGACCTCTCTGGCCACATACCACTTCAATTTACTTAATTACCCTAATTAAGTTTAATAATCAAGGAATTAAAACTCAAGATGTTACAATTAACATGGCTCTGGAACATGGTGAGGGAGGAGAAATGTGTGAAAGCTTTAAGTGAAAAATGAAGAAGAGAGAGAGAGAGAAGAGTTGTATGTAT